TTACTGGGTTTTCATCAACTGTTATTTCCATAACTCCAGCGATTTCTCTTTCTTCTTGCAAGAAGAGATTTCAGAATTGACACAAATTCAGAAGTGTGACTCTTTAGTTCTGCAAAATTCTTAACTGCTGCCAGTTCTGGAAATCCTCGTGGCCTTCACAGAATTCTGGAGTTTTCTTACTTCCTGCCCGCATACCTGCTTGTTGATTACAAGGACTTCTGTTATCGCAGGCTGATTTACCTTTTCCCTAGAACATCAATAGCACAGTTTAAAACACGATCTCAGCCTGGCCTGGTGGCTCATGCCTGTAATCCCAGCATTTTGGGAGGCCAGCGTGGCTGGATCGCTTGAGCCCAGGAGTTTGAGACCAGTCTGGGCAACATGGCGAAACCCCTTCTCTATGGAAAATACAAACATTAGCCAGTCTCATAACCCTGTCTCAAAATAAATAAATGGATAAAAAAATTAAAAAGTATTTAAACAAATCACTATCTCTACCAGTTCCCCCCAAAATCAATTTCACCTACTTCATCTTCCTTTTTATTAATGCTCAACCTATTTGATTTGCTTAGAACTTTAGCATTTTCCATGCAAGTTTTCATTTATGTCAAAGATTTAAAGTGATACAGGCAACAATAATTTTAGAGAAATCTCATTGCTTTATTACTACTAACAGTATTTAAAATGTTTAAGCTAAAGTTTAAAAATCCTTACTATTGATGGAATACTTTTTAAGTTAGGAGTTCCTTCAGAGATACTGTGGTTTGAGGCACCGATTTCATGGAGCTTTACGTGCTGAGCGGTTGTCCAGGCGCCCGACAGACTGAAGCCATAGCTTCCTGTAGAGAACCCCTCTGCAAGTATAATGCCAGCTCTGAAATTGCATTTGCATGAACCATTTCCATACAGGATCCTCTTTAGTGAGCTCTTCTTTTGTTAAAGTTGCCTTATGTTCTCTTGATAACACTAGTTGTCATTAATATAATGGAGAAGCTGCTTTCACAGTATCTTGATAAGGGGTGTTTTCTTTTAGCCTCACATAAACCACTTTGGCTGAAAAGCATGTGATCAGATCAGTTTCATGCTGGATATTCAGAGAATATGAAATAGCCAGGCATGCAAGAATGCAACAGTCCCTCCAAGTCTTCATTTTCATGGAAGTTTCAGAGTTTCCTGTGGGGTTCCTTAAACTTGTAGGTGCTAAGACCCTTCAGACCTTATGTTTAGGTGGGAACTAGTCACTCTCCTCCCAGGCTTGTAAGAGAGAGTTAGCAGAGCTAGGTATTTGGAAGATAAGGTGCTGACTGGATCTGAGGACAAGCCCATCCTGGTGCCTGGCCTGATTCTAACTGTTCTCTGGGCATTGTGGGACCTTGAGAAAGAAAATGCCTTGGGATCCAGATTTGGTGGGAGCTGATAGAGGAGCAATAAATTCCATTCCCCTCTTCATGTTTTGGTGTGGGTTTGGCTTCTGGAAAAAACAAACAAGGCCGGGTGCAGTGGCTCGTGCCTGTAATCCCAGCACTTTGGGAGGCTGAGGCAGGTGGATCACCTGAGGTTGGGAGTTCGAGACCAGCCTGACTAACATAGAGAACCCCCTGTCTTTACTCAAAATACAAAATTAGCAGGGAATGGTGGGTGCCTACAATCGCAGCTACTCAGGAGGCTGAAGCATGGGAATTGCTTGAACCCGGGAGGCAGAGGTTGTGGTGAAACAAGATCACAACTCCCAAAGCCCAGGTGGGCACATGTGACCATTGTACTCCAGCCTGGGCAACAGAAGCGAAACTCCCTCTCAAAAAAAAAGAACAAGAAAAGAAAAAACAAACATGGGTTAAAAGGTGGAAAGATGGTGATTGATAAGCTACTAATTTGTTCTCACATTTATTTTGAGGCTGCTAAGTAGCTGTCAGACACAGGAAATGGCCTAAAGATTACAGACAAATGTATTTTGGAAATTTTGGCAACATTGGCTTTTAGAATTAGTTGGTTCCAAATTTTTTTTTTTTTTTTTATGAAATGGAGTTTCGCTCTTGTTACCCTGGCTGGAGTGCAATGGCGTGATCTCGGCTCATGCCTCCTCGGCTCAGGCAATTCTCCGGCCTCAGCCTCCTGAGTAGCTGAGTAGCTGGGCTACTCACCTATATTACCACCATGCCCAGCAAATTTTTTGTATTCTTAGTAGAGATGGGGTTTCACCATGTTGACCAGGATGGTCTCCATCTCTTGACCTCGTGATCCACCCGCCTCGGCCTCCCAAAGTGCTGGGATTACAGGCGTGAGCCACCGTGCCCGGCCTCCAAAATTTTAAAACACATTATTTTAATTTTTATTGTCTTTATTTAGCTTTTACTCACATATAGTGCACTAATTCAAGGTTTACAGTGGTTTTTAGTATATTCAAGGAAACGTTCAACCATCATCACAGTCAATTTTGAACTTCCTCATCATCCCCCAAAGAAACCCTGTACTCATTAGTGGCCACTCCCTATTAATTCCCAAATCTCCGAAGGCAACCACTAATCTACGTTCTACTTCTATGGGTTTGCCAATCTGGACATTCATATAAATAGAATCATACATGTAGTATTTTGTGACTGAATTCTTTCACTTAGCATGACGATTTCAGAGTCCGACTGTATTGTAGCATGAATCAGCTCCTCGTTCCTTTTAATCGCACAGTAAGAGTCTGTCATATGGGTAGGCCACGAATTAGTGATTCATCGTTTGGTGGACATTTGGGTTGTTTCTGTTTTTTAAGTATTATGAATAATGCTGCTATGAATATATTTGTGTACAGAGTTTTTGTGTGGACACATATATTCACTCTCTTGAGTATGTACCTAGAAGTGGAATTGCTGGGTCATTATGTTAAGTGAAATCAGTCAGGCACAGAAAGATAAATATCATGTGTTTTCCTGATCTGTGGAAGCTAAAAAGAAAATTTGAGTGCATAGAAATAGAGAGTAGAAGAGTGGGTCTTAGGGGCCGGGAAGAGTGGTGAGGTGGAGACTATGGGGAGAGCTGGTAAATGCATACAAAATGACAGCTGGATAGGAGAAATGAGTTCTGGGATTTTGCAGCATAGTAGGGTGAAGATGATTAACTGTGATTTATATTATATTCTCAAAAAACTAGAAGACAGGATTTGGAATGTTTATGGCACAAAGAAATGATAAATATTTTAGGTGATGATATGCTGATTACCCTGATTTGATCACTATACATTGTATACATGTATGGAAATATCATTCTGTATACATAAATATTATGTGCCAACTAAAAATAAAAGAGAAAAGATCCAGTAACTCTATGTTTAATATTTTGAGGACGTGTCAAAGTGGCTGGCACCACCCTATACTCCCACTGGCAATGCGTGAGGGTGTCAATTTCTCCACATCCTCACCAGCCAACACTTGTTATTACTTGCCTTTTTAGTTATAGCCATCCTACTGGGGATGAAGTGGTTTTAATTCTCTTTGATTTGCATATCTCAGCTAGCTAATGATGTTGCATATCTCTTCATGTACACATGGACTATTTGTGATCTTTTCTGGAGACATATCTATTCATTTCCTTTGCCCATTAAAAACACTGGATTATTATTGAGTTGTAAGAATTCAATATTTCGGATATAAGTCCCTTAGCAGATATGATTTGCAAGTATTTTCTCCCATTCTGCAGGTGGCTTTTCACTTTCTTGATGATACATTTTGTAGCACCAAAGATTTTAATTTTGATAAAGTCCAATTTGTCTGCTTTTTCTTCTGTTATTTGTATAGTTCCAGCGTTATGAAAGAAACATCTTACTCCTCAAGGTAGAGATGAAAGAGTTAAAACTTATAGATCTGGTGGGAAGTTTATTATTAATACCATGCTTAGAAGATGAGGAAATAAGATACTTAGAACCAATAAATAAGACAACAGCAATGGAAATTTTTACAAAAATCACTGGCTAACTTCAGTTGACCTCAAAGGTCTCTGTCAGTCATCGTCCAGGCAGGAAGCAGGTAGAATATTCAGAAGGGCTGATGGGGATAATTTAATCAAGGGCCTTTTCTATAGAGGCATTGATCGTGCAAGGAAACCAGACATCATGATGGAGCCCCCAGGGCTGGCAGTGCTACAAGGCTGCTATCCCAACGTGGTGGACAGGGAGGGAACAGGCACTGAAAGCTAGTGAAACAGGAGAGTTCCCTGATTCTCCTGGCAGGATATGCAATTGGGTGTGGCTCACCTGCTTGGTTGCCCTGAAGCTCAAATCTTTAGGGGGAGCATGCAAACTGGCTGGTGCAAAGGCCCAGATAAAAGCTTTGGGCTCTTGGCCATGTGGCAGTATCTAGGGGTGGGTATCTGCAACTCCTGAAGCCCAGGTGGGCACATGTCATCAAGCTCTTTCAGATTTGCGATCTGCAGATGGCTTGTGTGCTAGTCAGCTAATCGGCTAGTCAATGGACCCTCTGCCTTATTATAAGGGCAGAGGGCCAGTGTGACAGCCTCTGTATCCTGAGCTCTGGCCCAGTGTCCTGGGAGAATTGGATCACACGTGGGCTCGAAAGATGAGTGCAAGGTTTTACTGAGAGGTGGAGGTGGTGCTCAGTGAGATGGATGGGGAGTCAGAAGGTGGAGGGGTGGGGAAAATAATCTTCCCTGGAATTGAGCTGCCCAGAAGCCAACCCTTCTCCAACTAGCCCTGGCTGACCTTCCCTCAGCATCCTGATGTCCCTCTTTTTTTTCTCTGCTGCATCATTCTGCTGTCGCTGGCCTGCTGGTCTTGACCTTCAGCTGCTTGTGTGTGTACGTACCCACTAAGATCTTGGGTTTATATGGGCACAGGATGGGGGGCTTGGTGGGCCAGAGCAGTCTTGGAAAATGCAACATTTGGGCATGAAAACAGGAGTGCCTGTTCTCACTTAGGTCCGCGACATAGGCTTGAGGGTGAAGCCCTCGCCAGGGGTCTGGCCCTTCTCTACCCAGCGTTTCCCTGCCCAGCTCCCATGTCACTAGTTATAGGGAAGGGCTGATGAGGGAACGCTGTGCTTTTGCTAGAGGAACATGGCTTCTGCCCACCTGTAGTCTGGCAAGGAGGAGACTGGAGGAATCATACCTCCAACTCTCTTTCCTCTCACTCTGTCATCTCCTGCCCGCGCATCTTAGCTGAACCCAACTCACACCAGGAACAAGGTGGCCTAGTTGATACAGTCCGTAAGGCCAGCCTCTGGGGCCACAGAACATGGTGGAGAGGAATGAGGATGGATTGTGGCGTGGAAGGAGAACATCTGTCAAGTCACTAGGATGGTGAGTCAGACACTTTGTCCTTTTGGTGGGGGAGCAATTTATGCTGAAGATAATTCCTTCATCTGGTTTTTAAACTAGCTCCACCCCTGTGCTGTCCATTTATGGAGGAATACTTGCTCCCGACTATGTAAAATTTGTTCTCTCATAAGGCTTGGCTCAGAAGCCACCTCCTTCTTGCTGCCATTCCTCTTAATTTTCTCAGAAGTGATCTCCCTCCTTGGAAGTTTATTAGTCAGGGTTCTCTAGGGGGACAGAACGAATAGGATATATAATATTATATATATCATATAATATGTATATGTATATACATATATCCTATTGTATAATATTATATATTACATATGATATATTACATATATGTATACTATTATAAATACATATATATGTATTAAAAAAATCACAAGGTCCCACAATAGGCTGTCTGCAGGCTGAGGAGCAAGGAGAGCCAGTTTGAGTCCTAAAACTGAAGAATTGGAGTCTGATATTCAAGGGCAGGAAGGGTCCAGCATGGGAGAAAAATGTAGGCTGGGAGGCTAGGCCAGTCTAGTCTTTTCATGTTTTCTGCCTGCTTTATTTTATATTCTAGCTGCGCTGGCAGCTGATTCGATGGAGCCCACCAGATGAAGGGTGCGTCTGCCTCCCCAGCCCACTGACTCGAATATTAATCTCCTGTGGCGACACCCTCACAGACACACCCAGGACCAACACTTTGCATCCTTCAATACGATCTAGTTGACACTCAGTATTAACCGTCACAGAAGTCTTATTCGTGGATCTAACTTCCCACAAAGTGATTCTACCTTTTATCGTTACTTATAGATAGTTCATACGACTCTCACCGTGCAATAAAGTCCAGACAGAACCATTTTTATTTATCTTTATACCTCTTGAAGAACCTGCACAGCGTCCTGACATTACACAGGGCTTCAGCTGAGACTGATGAAGGAATGGATTTGGGATCAGGCATTATTGCATCTTCTTGGAATCTGCTAGTTGGAAGCGTCCTCAGATGTTTCCTTTTTTCTTTTTTTTTTAAAGACAGAGTCTCACTCTGTGGTCCAGGCTGGAGGGAGTGGTGTGATCTTGCCTCACTGCAACCTCTGCCTCCTGGGTTCCCCTGCCTCAGCCTCCTGAGTAGCTGGGACTACAAGCACGTACCACCACGCCCAGCTAGTTTTTTGTATTTTAGTAAAGATGGGTTTCACTATGTTGGCCAGGTTGGTCTTGAACTCCTGACCTCGTGATCCACCTGCCTCAACCTCCCAAAGTGCTGGGATTACAGGCATGAGCCACTGCACTGGGCCCATACTTCTGTTTTTAACTTAGCCATTTCAAGCTCCTACTCAGCGAAGACTCTCCCTCCAGATAGGGGACACTGTTGGTGGCCCACTCAGCATTTCTCCTTTTTCTTCAAACAGAGCCCTGACTTCGTCGAAGCCTCCACCCTCCCTTAAGCAGCCAAGCATCAGAGGGAAAGCTTATCCTGGGCTAAAATAATTTAAGGATAATATGTTCCCTTTTGCCAGGAATTGGTTTAGAAATGGAAATGTGACCAAGTTCTGGCTGCAGAGCCTCGAGGAGAGATTTGCTTGTGATTTCCAAGAAAGTCCTTCCTCCCTCCTTAGAAAGTCAGGTTGTTATTGGCAGCCACTTTACACCTAGGAGGAGAGCCAACTTCAAGATGAGGATGTCAGTGTAGATTGTGGAGCTGGGATTTGAAAACCTGAGCTGTTGCTAACATCATTGAGGGTATCCAAAAGTCTGCTTTATCTTTGATATTCTTTTTATGAATAAGTCTATTTCCTTTTTGGAAAGACCTTTCAGTGGGGTTTTCTGTTACTCTATCTGAAAGCAGGCCCACACACCCTGCCATCGTTTTCCTCTTCATCTCTGCTGATACAGGAGCCAAAATAGAATTGAAGAGCCGCATGAATGTTTAGACTAGCTCTGTGCCCAGGAGTGTCAGAATGGTTTGTAACAGAGACCCTGTCAAGCTGGAAACATTGTATCTCATTTTACTAGTGCTGGTACTCTGGGGTGGGAGTTAGTACTGTATCTGTTCTAGATCTTGTTTATGTTCTGCCTCTTCTCCATTACACTGGGCCTGATTAAAACAATTTTTTTTTTTTTCAAAATAGCATCTCTAAAAATGTGAAAGACATTTTCTGTTCCATACACACGAAAACCTCGCTTCCTCAGGTAAGAATGGGCCAGAAGCTCTGATTGCAGCACAGACGGGTGACAATATTTGCTAAAGCAAAGCCCTGTTTCCTAGCCAGGGGCGGTGGCTCACACCTGTAACCCCAGCACTGTGGGAGGCTGAGATGCGCTGATCACCTGAGGTCAGGATTTTGAGACCAGTGTGGCCAACATGGTGAAACCCCATCTCTACTAAAAATACAAAAATTAGCTGGGTGTGGTGGCACGTGCCTGTAATCTCAGCTACTCTGGAGGCTGAGGCAGGTGAATTGTTTGAACCCAGGAGGTGGAGGTTCCAGCGAGCTGAGATCACGCCACTGCATCCTCCAGTCTGGGCAACAGAGCCAGACTCCATCTCAAAAAAAAAAAAAAAAAAAAAAAAAGAAATGCAGAGCCAGGTTTCCCAAAGAGGACTTTCCACCCACACTCTTAGCAGGACCTGATGCTTCACACTAGAGGGTAATAGGGCTGTTTATACAGCAAATAGACAAGCCACATTCACAGTGAGATGTGTTTTGCCTTTCCTTGCAATGTATTTATTTCTTGAGATGGAGTTTCACTGTCACCCAGGCTGGAGTGCAGAGGTGCAATTTCACTGCAACCTCTGCTTCCTGGGTTCAAGTAATTCTCCTGCCTCAGTCTCCCCAAGTAGCTGAGATTACAGGCACGTGCCACCATGCCTGGCTAATTATTGAGTTTTTAGTAGAGACAGGGTTTCTTCATGTTGGCCAGGCTGGTCTGGAACTCTTGACCTCAGGTGATCTGCCTGCCTTGGCCTCCCAAAGTGCTGGGATTACAGGTGTGAGCCACCACGCCTGGCCTCCTTGCAATTTAGATGGGAAGTGGAAATCAGCTCTTAAGTAAAGCCCACTTGAGTGATTATTGGAGTCACTTTGGCGGGCCAGGGGAGGGGAGTCATTATTGACAGAATTTCTGGTTAATTAGTAATTTCCAGGTACTCATCTTTCTGTGTAGAAAGATCTCATTTTCCTCCATCTATTTCTTTAAGCAGGAATGAACAAAACCTTTTCATTGGTGTTGAGAGGGAGTAAGGGAATATGCTGGAAGTGAAAGCGGGGATTGAAGGCCATTTTACTGGGCACCCGTGGCTGAAGAATGGAAAAAAAATCATCAATTAGGAAAGGGAGAAAACAAAGGGGTTTGGAGCCAAGAAAGAAGGAAGAAAAATGTATTAAGAGGAAGAAAGAATAAAGAAATACAAAAAAGAAGAAATATCAGGCTCACTCGGGTACAATTAAAGAAACATACTTGAACCTGACATACTTTCTTATGGTAACAGACAAAAAATATATTTATTGGTGGTTCCTAAGTGAAAATATACTGCAGGATTTTATTTTTATTTTTTTTAAGATTGGTCAAAAAACTCAAAGAAAAATATTTTTTGAGTCCTATTTTTCTAAAGACTGTGGTGTTCTGATCAGTCAGATAAGGAGAATTTACTGCCTAAAATCAAGCAGCAGGAATCTGTTCTTTCCCGAAGTCCTGTAGCTACATAAAACTGACCTCCTAAGCAGTACTTCCTTGTCTCTTTTTAATGAATAAATCTACGTTCTAGGAAAATTGATGATTGCTTCCAGACATGTGTGGGAGTCCAGAATATGCCACTCCAAAAGAAAGAAGATTGTTGAGCTGAAGAAAATTAAGAAGGAAGAGATGCAGGAAAGCTCTCTGCCCCCCATTTGCTTAAATGCAGGACAGAGATTGACAAAGATGAAGAGCATCCTGTCCCTTTCTCTTACCAGGGAGAGCAAAGGTTAACCACTGAAGACAGTTTTAGACCATTATCTGCTGGGTGTTGGAACCAGAGGAAATCTACCTGAACATGCTTTACCAACTTGCTTTTATCTGCCAGTTAGTTGCTTCCCCACCAAGAAGCCCCCTCTAGAGACCCACAGTCCTTTTCCTTTGTCCTGTCACTTCTCTAAAAATCATTATTCTTTGTTGAAGATGCTGTACAAGCTGGAATTCAAAGCTACTTCTTTGAGAACTACTTCCCTGGGTGTCTCTTATGTAGACGTGAGATGTACATGTTAATAAACTTCTTTTTCTCTTATTAATCTTTTTTTTTGTGGGGTCTATTTCAACTAAGAACCTATGAGGGGCCAGGCACGGTGGCTCATGCCTGTAATCCCAGCATGTTGGGAGCCCGAGGCAGGAGGTCCGGAGTTTGAGACTAGCCTGGCCAACATGGTGAAACCCCGTGTCTACTAAAAATACACAAATTAGCCAGGCATGGTGGTGGGTGCCTGTAATCCCAGCTACTTGGGAGGCTGAGGCAGGAGAATCAATTGAACCTGGGAGGTAGAGTTTGCAGTGAGCCGAGATCATGCCACTGTACTCCAGCCTGGGCAACAGAGCAAGACTCTATTAAAAAAAAAAAAAACCTATTAGGATTGAAGAAACAATTAGTTTTCTTCCCCTACACATGATTTTTGTGTCTGCTGCATAAATTTTAAATTTTTTTTTTTTTTTAGACAGAGTCTCACTCTGTCACCAGGCTGGAGTGCAGTGGTATGATCTCGGCTCACTGCAAACTCCATCTCCCAGGTTCAAGCAATTCTCCTGCCTCAGCCTCCTGAGTAGCTGTGATTACAGGTGCACACCACCATGCCCAGCAAAATTTTTTTTTTTTTTGAGACGGAGTTTCGCTCTTGCTACCCAGGCTGGAGTGCAATGGCACAATCTTGGCTCACCGCAACCTCCGCCCCCTGGGTTCAGGCAATTCTCCTGCCTCAGCCTCCTGAGTAGCTGGGATTACAGGCACGCGCCACCGTGCCCAGCTAATTTTTTTTGTAATTTTTAGTAGAGACGGGGTTTCACCATGTTGACCAGGATGGTCTCGATCTGTTGACCTCGTGATCCACCCGCCTCAGCCTCCCAAAGTGCTGGGATTACAGGCTTGAGCCACCGCGCCCGGCCAAATTTTTATATTTTTAGTAGAGACGGGGTTTCACCATGTTGGCCAGGATGGTCTCAATCTCTTGACCTCATGATCTGCCCGCCTCGGCCTCCCAAAGTGCTGGGATTCCAGGTGTGAGCCACCGCGCCCAGACAATTTTTTTTTTTTTTTGTAACATCAATGTTTCTCAAAGTGGTCTGTGGGCTACCAACTTCAGAATCACCTGGGATGCTTGTTAAAAAGTATGTGTTGTAGGTTCCACACCAGCTGCAATGACCCAGCATCTCTGGAGGTGAAGTATTTTTAACAGTTTCCCAGATTTTAATAAATTCTAACGTTGAGTGATTTCTGCACATTGATTTTGTATCCTGAGAATTTGTGAAAGTGGTTTGTCAGCTTAAGGAGGTTTTGGGCTGAGACTGTGGGGTCTTCTAAATATATGATCATGTTGTCTGAAAATAGGGACAATTTGACTTCTTCTTTTCCTAATTGAATGCCCTTTATTTCTTTTTCTTGCCTAATTGCTCTGGCTAGAACTTCCAATACTATACTGAATAGGAGTGGTGTGAGAGGGCATCCTTGTCTAGTGCCCTCTCCCTCTAGTTTTTAAAGGGAATGCTTCTAATTTTTGTCCATTCAGTATGATATTGGCTGTGAGTTTGTTGTAAATAGCTTTTATTGTTTTGAAATACATTCCATCAATACCTAGTTTATTGAGAGTTTTTAGCATAAAGGGCTGTTGAATTTTGTCAAAGGCCTTCTCTGCATCTATTGAAATAATCATGTGGCTTTTTTGTCTTTGGTTCTGTTTATGTGGTGAATTACATTTATGGATTTGTGTATATTGAACCAGCCTTGCATCCCCGGGATGAAGCCTACTTGATCGTGGTGGATAAGCTTTTTGATGTGCTGTTGGATTTGGTTTGCCAGTATTTTATTGAAGATTTTTGCATCAATGTTCATCATGGAAATTGGCCTGTAGTTTCCTTTTTTAGTTGTGTCTCTGCCAGATTTTGGTATCAGGATGATGTTGGTCTTATAGAAAGAGTTAGGGAGGAGTCCCTCTTTTTGTATTGTTTGGATTAGTTTCAACAGGAGTGGTACCAGCTCCTCTTTGTATGTCTGGTAGAATTCAGCTGTGAACCCATCTGGACCTGGACTGTTTTTGGTTGGTAGGCTGTTAATTGCTGCCTCAACTACAGACCTTGCTATTGGTCTCTTCAGGGTTTCAACTTCTTCTTGGCTTAGTCTTAGGAGTGTGCAAGTGTCCGGGAATTTATCCATTTCTTCCAGATTTACTGGTTTATGTGCATAGAGTTGTTCGTAGCAATCTCTGATGGTAGTTTGTATTTCTGAGGAGTTGGTGGTGATCTCCCCTTTATCGTTTTTTATTAGTCTAGCTAGCAGTCTGCCTATTTTGTTGATCTTTTCAAAAAACCACCTCCTGGATTTATTGATTTTTTGAAGGGTTTTTTTGTGTTTCTATCTCCTTCAATTCTGCACTGATCTTAGTTACCTCTTGTCTTCTGCTTGCTTTGAGTTTTTTTTTATTTTTTATTTTGCTCCTCTAGCTCTTTCAATTTTGATGATAGGGTGTTGATTTTAGATCTTTCCTTGCTTCTCATGCGGGCATTTATTGCTATAAATTTCCTGCTAGACACTGCTTTAAATGTGTCCCATGGGATCTGGTACATTGTGTCTTTATTCTCCTTGGTTTCAAAGAACATTTTTATTTCTGCCTTCATTTCATTGTTTATCCATTCATCATTCAGGAGCAAGTTGTTCAGTTTCCATGTGATTGTGTGGGTTTGAGTGTTTTTCTTAATCCTGAGTTCTAATTTGATTGCACTGTGGTCTGAGAGACTATTTGTTATGATTTCTGTTCTTTTGCATTTGCTGAGGAGTGATTTACTTCCAATTATGTGGTCAATTTTGGAGTAAGTGCAATATGGTGCTGAGAAGAATGTGTATTCTGTGGATTTGGGGTGGAGTGTCCTGTAAATGTCTATTAGGTCCGTTTGGTCCAAGTCTATGTCCAAGTCCTGGATGTCCTGTTGACTTTCTGTCTCATTGATCTGTCTAATATTGTCAGTGGAGTGTTAAAGTCTCCCACTATAATTGTGCGGGAGTCTAAGTCTCTTTGTAGGTGTTTAATAACTTGCTTTCTGTATCTGGGTGCTCCTGCATTGGGTGGATAAATATTTAGGATAGTTAGCTCTTCTTGTTGCATTGATCCTTTTACCATTATATATGCCCTTCTTTGTGTCTTTTGATCTTTGTTGGTTTAAAGTCCATTTTATCAGTGACTAGGATTGCTACCCTTGGTTTTTTTTTTGCTCTCCATTTGCTTGGTAAATCTGCTTTCATCCCTTTATTTTGAGTCTATGTCAGTCTTTGCATGTGAGACGGGTCTCCTGAATACAGCACACTGATGGGTCTTGACTTTTTATCCAGTTTGCCAGTCTGTGTCTTTTGATTGGGGCATTTAGGCCATTTACATCCAATGTTAATATTGTTATGTTTGAATTTGATCCTGCCATTTTGTTACTGGCTGGTGTTTTGCCCATTAACTGACATGGCTCCTTCATTGTGTCATTATTCTTTACCATTCTGTATGTTTTCGCAGTGGCTGGTCCTGGTTGTTCCTTTCCCTGTTTAGCACTTCCTTCAGTAGCTCCTATAAGTCAGGTCTTATAGTGATGAAATCTCTCAGCAATTGCTTGTCTGTAAAGGATTTTATTTCTCCTTCCCTTATGAAGCTTAGTTTGGCTGGATGTGAAATTCTGGGTCGAAAGTTCTTTCCTGTAAGGATGTTGAACATTGGCCCCCACTCCCTTCTAGCTTGCAGGGTTTCTGCCAAGAGGTCCACTGTGAGTCTGATGGTCTTTCATTTGCGGGTGACTCGACCTTTCTTTCTGGCTGCCCTTAGGATTTTTTCCTTCATTTCAACCCTGGTGAATCTGACAATTATGTGCGTTGGGGTTGCTCTTCTTGAGGAATATCTTTATGGTGTTCTCTGTATTTCCTGGATTTGAATGTTGGCCTGCCTTGCTAGGTTGGGAATGTTCTCTTGGATAATATCTTGAAGAGTGCTTTCCAACTTGGATTCATTCTCCCTGTCATATTCAGGTATGCCGATCAAGTGTAGATTAGGTTTTTTCACATAATCCCATAGTTCTTGGAGGCTTTGTTCATATTTTTTCCCACTCTTTTTCCTCTAATCTTGCCTTCTCATTTTATTTCACTGATTTGATCTTCTATCTCTGATATCCTTTCTCCTGCTTGATCAATTCGGCTGTTGAAACTTGTGTATGCCTCACAAAGTTCTTGTGCTGTGTTTTTCAGCTCCATCAAGTCATTTATGTTCTTCTCTAAGCTGGTTATTCTAATTAGCATTTTGTCTAACCTTTTTTCAAGGTTCTTAGTTTCTTTGTATTGGGTTAGAACATGGTCTTTTAACTCAGAGAAGGTTGTTATTACCCACCTTCTGAAGCCTGCTTCTGCCAATTTGTCAAACTCATTTATTTTCTGTCTTGTTTTTTTTCCCCTTGATGGTGAGGAGTTGTGATCCCTCGGAGGAGAAGAGGTGTTCTGTTCTTTGATGGTTTCATCCTTTTTGTGGTGTTTTTTTTCTGTTGACGTTGGAGCTGTATCTTTTTTGGCCTGTAGAGGGCGCTGCCGGGCTCTCTCGGGTTCAGTCAGGTTGTTGGGTGGGCGGTCCTTCCCTGGAGTTTGTTTGCAGGTGAGATTGGCCCCGCCTTCCCGATGGCATCTCTCCTTCCCCAGCAGGATCTTCCTGTTTGGGGTCAAGCTGGTGTATTTGCTGCCAAGCTCTCTAGGGAGGGTTTCAGTTTGAGTTCTGTGGAGGTGGGGGTGGGGCCTGCCAGGCCTTAGGGTCTGTTTCCCTGCTTTCAACTCTGCCTCCCTCTGTGGGAGGCTCTGTCCCGCTGGCCTTAGTCCAAACTCCCGCCCAGGTCCCTGCCACAGCTTGCCGCCTCCGGAGGTAGCCGCTGGGACTACCCACAGCGCCCCACCATCTGCTCTAGTGGACCGTGGGGTGCAGGAGGAATGAGGTAAGCACAGGATCCCAAACGGAGCACTGAGGGGGTGAAGTCCCCC